ATATATATATATATATATATATATATATATGAATTATATTTATAATCAACTTATCCATGAACTCCCAACAATGACGGTGCTCGACATACATACATAGATATATATATATTAAATTAAATTTATATAAAAAAAAAGTAATCTCAAATGACCTAAAGCTTTAAAAAGCTGATTAGAAAGCTTCAGCACAGCAAATCTTCACGAGGCTTATATATATTGCATCAGATCAGAAGGTTGGAATTATTTACATAAAAGGCTTAATATTTACAGAAAAGCCTAACCCAAAAAGTCTATTTATATATTTACAGTTATTTTCTCTTCCCTCATTTCAGGCACAGGCAGGATCAGGAAGTAGCGGTAGTAGTAGCAATAGTAGTAGAATGAATGGTATCAGGTAGCATAGCCACTGTTACTATAAAATATTCAGACCCAACAGCAAGTCCATAAGGGTTACAAGTATTTTTACCAGATTTTGAAGAACATATGGTCTCCCCTTCCTCATCTTGGCTGGCTTGAGATGAAGAAGGCTGCGGCCTCGCGATCTGCTTCTCGATGTGGACGATTTGGCCAATTATGTACGCCGGTCGGCTCGAATGTTCGGTGAAGAGGGCGACAGATTCGGACGAGAGGAAATAGTTCGGGCAGTTTCGATTCATTGCTTCATAATTTCCGGCGGGGTTTAGAACGAAAGCGGCGAGCTCATGAACCTCCATGCGGAGAAAAGATATCTTCTCCTTGCTTGCCTTTTGAGAAAAAGGATATTGAAAAAATAATTAAAATTTTTATTTAGGGAATTTACATACATAGCACACACTCCTTATGTATTAGTATTTACATACCTCACAAGTAAATTTTTATAGAGAGTCAAGCATATCCCAATAAAGTGTAAAAACAATTAATGCGAAGGGCATAAGAAGAAAAATAAAAGGTTCAATAGCAAGCAGATCACTCAAAATATTGTTATTTACAGATCAAACCCCTGTTTCATTCATTTTTCAAATTCTCCCTCAAATATCAAAATTCATGATAAAACCCCAACCGATAATTTTCATTTTTTCAAAATCTCACTTGGTTTGATCGTCGCACACATAAATGTATCATTTCAAATAAGAAAAACATAAAAAAAAAAAAGAAGACCAAAAGTTTACTTTAGAATTAACAACAGAAAATGTAAATACCTGTTTTTCAAGCTGATGTTTTCTGTACAAGGTTTTAATCAATTCTCTTTGATCCTCCATTTGCTTACTGAGTTGCTCGATTCGTCGGTTAAGAACGCTCACTTTATCTGCAATGACGATGATGCATGCTCGAAAGTTGGCAGAGACATCATCTTCATCATCAGCAGACCCGCTAAATGCAACGAAAAACACGAAAAATTTCAGAAAAAAGGTAACACAAAATTTACAATTTAAAACTAAAATTTAGCAGGAAAGACTCCGGGTCGTCATACACCGACTAAATCTTCACCCAAAGATGATATTTTGAGAAGAGGTAACAAAAGAGGAATCAACCAGAATTAGTATCCATCTCAAACCAAATTTAATACTTCAAAGAACTGTCTCTTTGGTCGGATATTCTCAGTAATTTTGATTTACATATGTACCACTCAATTCCTACGTATTTACATATCTAAACCTAAATTTCACTTTTACATTTATACCGCCCAAAACTTCAACTGTAAGACGAAAATGTAGTTAAGAATATTTGGAATAGAAAATTATCTAGAGGTTAAAAGTTAGGTAAATTTACATACATATCACACAATTCCTTTGTATTTACATATCTAACACCTAAAGTTTGATATCTACATTATAACACTTTGGTGCTATGAACATATGCATGAAATGGTGTACTTATAAAAAGTTAGCAGCAGTGGTACTTTTTATATGATATTAAAGATTAGAGTGTTATGTATGTCAATATGAAAGTTTAAGTGTTAGGCATGTAAATACATCAGAATTGTGTGGTATTTGTGGTAAAAAACCATAAAAAATGGAGAATAAATTCAGTAATAATACCTTCCCAAAGAAAGAGCGAAAGAGCGCAATGAGTCTGAAAAATTAACCGATCCGTCCAATGCAGTGACGCAGTTACGAAACCTTTCGAATAAACCATGCATCTTCACAGCAGTCGCCCGCAAAGCATTATATTCTGATGCTCTTCTTTCAGCAGCACAGAGATTAGTACGAGCCTCTTCTCTTGCTTCATGTAGGCAGTTCTCTAAGTGAGCACAATTCATCTGTTTTTACAGTAAAAGACTGATTTATTTATCTTGATAGAAAACTAAAATTCATCAGATGTTTAAAAGTTGGGGAATTTAGATACATACCGCGCAACAATATGTAATTATATATCGAACACCTAAACTATAGTTTTTCCATTTAATGCCACCCAGATCTTTTATATCATATCAAAAGTACAACCATTTTAACTTTTAAAAAGTGAAATACATCTTTTCATGCATAGATAAAGTGACATGTCTGTAAAAATTAATGTTCAGATATTAGATATGTAAATACCCAGAATCTGAGGGGTATGTAAGTAAATCTTCCCTAAAAATAAATTGATGCAATAACTACAAATAAAAAGATAATCTTCAAAAAAATTCAAGGAGAAATCCATTCCAACTAAATAAATAAATAAAAAGAAGTGTAAAATCCCTTTACTAGAATGAAGTTGAACTCTTAAATGCTTTTACGTGCAATGGTTGAAATTTCATTAGAAACTCTAAATTTAAGTGTACTCGAGCACTCTCAGGCTAGGAGACCTCCTGAGAAGTTACATCAATGGGACAGAACTGTGACGCCATTAGGCCAAATTAGGCAATATGTCGATGAGTGAGAGTTCGGGATGTACACAAAATGCTCATGTCATGTGCGCGGGGTAAAGAACCCATTTACTTAACCAAGTGGTGCAGGGCCTCTCTCTCTCACTCACTCACTCTCTCTTTCTATTGATTACATTTATTATAGTAGGCGGAGTAGGCATAAAAAAAAGCGCAAGAATCAAGAGCAGAAAATGCTGAAAGTTTTATTTATTCTCTCTTTTGTTCTTCAATTGGTGCAAGAGCTCATGCATTGGCATATTCACACCATTGGCAAGATTTGAGATGGACAATTTACAGGTTAAAATGACTTCAGTATTTGGATAGTAGAGAAAAAGGAAGTTGTTTTCATGGGATGAAGCAAAATTTCGAAGAGATCTTGCCAATAAAACCGACAATGTGGTTCTAATCGGTCTGGGAGATGAAGTTCCGTAAAAGGTTTTAGAAGAGCAATCGGCCATGAGAGTTTGGGAGAAACTTGAATCTCTATAATTGAAGGGATCCCTTGCCAAACGATTTATCTAAAGAAGTTGTAACTTTTGCAATAGATGATTCTAAATTGATTAAGAAGCATTTAGCCTGCGCTCTAATAAGAAGCACTTGACAAAACTATATAGAACAGAGGGCCATTTGGTTTGCTGAAAAAGAAATACAGAATGAAAAGAAATACAATATAAAATAAATGTAGTGTATTTGAGATGTGAGTCTTTTGGCCGAATGAAAACCAAAGCGGGAGATTTTTTTTTATTTTTTATTTTGGATGTTTACTGTGAAATAAAATGAATTCAAAGTAAACCCTAGCGGGGTAGTCATTGAAATGGCGAGGCAGCGGCAGAGTGGAGGATGATGGTAGCATCGGCCAATTGTGGCAAACGGCAATGACTATGTTGGCAGTGCAGGTGAAGGAGGGCATCAATGGTGGTCGTGGCAAGGCAACCGGTACCATGCAACCAATAATTAAGATGACAAATGTGGCAGCGACGGCGATAGGCGGCACACTGTACTAAAAATTGGCCAATTTTTAGTCCAACAAAAATGAACTGGCGAGTTTTAAATTCCTCAAAACTTTACTATGTATTTCTACTTCATCAAAACCAAATGCCAAAACCTTCATTTACAATACTTTATACCCGAAATATAGCAAACCAAACGGCTTCTAGGTGGCTTGAAAATAAAAGAAATCAATTAAAAATAAAACTTCCAAGAGGAAATAAAAAAATTATGAAAAATATATGAATGATAATTGCTTACTGTCACTAACTTCAAAAAATAAAAATTGGTGAAAACCATTATAAAAATATTTTCTCCTAAAATTAGCCCAGATCAAAATAGCTTAAATTTTGATCTAAGTTAACAAAATTGAGTTAAAGTATTAATGATATAGTGTGCGAGTAAACTAATGTTATAACAGACCGTCATGCCAATTAGACAAAATTAATCAATAACTTCATGATAAAAATCAATAATTTAGAGAAAAAACTGAATGCACATACAATTTAAATCATAAATATCAAAGAAGTTTAAACTAGTCACTGGACTGTTCATTTGCGATCATTTTAGTCGCATAATATCATCTGTTGATTTAATGTAATTATTTTTCAGCATACCAAATTCTGTAATTAAAGAAATAAGTAATAATCTTCTATTTAATTTTAGTCTGGCAAAAAACCTCTGAAATGTTTAGGCCGAGAATTTGTTTGACAGTGTGCCTTTAAAGTTTCAAAGACTTCGAGAACTTAAACATGCATATCTAACACCTAAACATTCATTTTTACATGCATACCACTCAAATGCTTAACATCACATCAAAAATACTGCAACATTATCTTTCTGAGAGTGAAATGCACCTTTTTCATGCATAGGTATATGACAACAAGGTGTTTATAAGTATAAATATCAAACTTTGTATGTTATATATACATTTTTTTTATTTCAAAATATTGATGAATTTGTTGATTTGATGTATTTTTTTTATTGATTTTATTAAATTTGTTTTTCGGCATACCAAATTCTGTAATAAAAGAAATGAGAAACTATTCTTCAATTGTATTTTAGGCTAGCAAGGAAACCTCTTAAATGTTTAGGTAGAAAGTTTGTTAGTTTGTGTTACGATGATGCCTGACCTAAGGGTAATTTTATCTTTTGTATGTTTAAAGACAACTTAGTATTCTATTATTATTATTATTATTATTATTATTGGTTATAAATAGGTTTCTTATGTCTAGGGCTAGTTTTATGCATGAGATTGAGTTGTGAGTATTATGTCTAGAGTTTGCGAGAAATCGCCTACCTCTCGAATTGTAGGTGTTTATCTTTTTATTCTAGTTGAGTTCTTTGATTTATTGAAAGAAATTTGTGCTTACCCTAATTTATGTGGAAAAGTGCGCCGATTTTCAGATCATATCATATCAAAGTGGTATTAGAGCATCGACTAGAAAATCAGAAAGAAAAAATAGGTTACCTGCTTGGATCATGGCTCTTGGAGGAAGGATGCTCACGCAGAAAGTTCAAATACGCGTGCAATTGGGCTACTACAGAGATGCAAGTACAGGATCACAAAGAAGGTAAATGACGGGACCCCAGCTTATAGGGGCCTGCAATTTCCATCGTTCTCCTCCCACATCGTCCTCGCCTTGGAAAGGCAATCACTATTGGAGTGTGTCGCCTTTGTAACCGAACCTTGCGATATAGTCACGAAAGTAGCAGGGAAGCGGCGTACATAGACCGAAACTCCCATTCTTCTCTTCCTCTAGAGTCGACTGTGAAGGCAGCGGCGAGCGAGGAAGCGACGTACAACGACCTGAAACTCCAATTTTCTCCAATTCTGGCGGCATCCGAGCCTTATGATGGATTTCGGCTACAGTGACACGATTCGAGCTATCAGAGTAAGGGTTAAGGAGTCTGCAAACCCAAATCTACCATCTAAATTCTCAGTTTGCACTAATATGTGCTTGATTTCAGCAAATATAATTTCTACAACGAATTTCAACCTATAGACTTTATTTCACGTACCAAGCTACTGTATTCAACTCACTGGTAGCGACGCTATCCAGATCGATGACAAAACAGAATTTCAGCATGAAGATGTTTTCATACATTGTGAACAAAAACATTTTTAGGAGTGATGGCAGCAAAAAAAAAGTGGTTGATTTAGAGAAAAAATTAGAAGAAGAGATCAGCAAAATCAGATTTTGGATGGAAGAAAGGTTCGCTGCCATAGAGTATACGTTTTCTTCCATCGAGAACATAATGGAGGACTGATTTGAGAGCAGGAGGGGAAGGGGGGGGAGGATTTGAGAGACGATAAAGAAGCTTATTGAGATGCAATTCAAGACATCGCTCACAGTTCAATTTACAAACCCTATCCAAGGATTGGCCGAAGATTTATTGGCTAAAATGAAAGGAAAATAGACGAACATGAAGAACATCCACCGTCACAAACCCCTATCAGGGCTCCGACGGGGGGTGGATTAAAGATTTCTGATGAAGATAGTTGGGTTTAAATATGGAGAAAATATTATACAACAAGAGGTGTGGGGGACCACAAAGAAGAAATGAGAGATATAGGAAGGGGATATGGCTATAATCGAATGAGAGAGTTTTACCCTTAATATATAGGGGAAAACAACGGAGGGAGAGGAAGTTATGGTGGAAATGTTAGAGTTGAGAAGTTGAAGATGTCAATTTATGAGGGGGAAGACGTACAGGGGTAGGTGTATCGGGTGGAACAATACTTTGCGGTGAATGGACTAAACGGTGAGGAGAAACTCATGGCGGCAGGGTTATGTTTGGAAAGGAAAGCTCTAGTCTGGTTTCAATGGAGGGGGGCTAGTACTCGATCCATTCATTAAAGAAATTCAAAGATTGTTTGTTGAAACGTTTCTGAGCAATTCGAGAGGGAAACTTACACGAGAATTCTATGCCTTGATTTAGGAGGGGACGGTCATAGAATACAAGGAGAGATTTGAGCTATTATCGGGACAGTTGAGATGAATCTCTAAAGTAGGATTGAAGGGAAATTCCATGAAGGCCCTAAAGCCAAACATACGAGCATCAATTCGGCTACTGAGACTGCGGGAATTGAGAGAGACGATGGAGCTAGTTCAAATGGTAGAGGACTAGAATCACATGAAGATGGGCAACAGGAGCAACACTAATGGAGCATCATACCAACAACAACAACAATATCAAAGCCTTAATCCCACTACGTGGGGTCGGCTACATGAATCTTTTTTCTCCATCGCGTCATATTTTCATTTAGTTCTAGTAAATTAAGATCATTTTTTATACAATAAGCCCAAGTTTTCCTAGGTCTACCTCATAAAACCATGACAATAATGAAACATCATACCGAAATCCTAAAGACATGACAATACCAAACAATGGAAGTCCAGAGGAAAACTGCAAGAGACACAAATAATGGATTACAACTGGGAACAACACTCAGCGTCTAACAGAAATAGAGATTCAGAAGCAAGCCAAGGGGTATGTTCTCGGTGTAATGAGAAATTTACCACACGACACCGTTGCAAGGATCGAAAATTACAAGTTTTCATAACGCGTGACAAAGAGGCAGAAGATGAAGAAATAGAGATAATTGTGGTGGAGGAACACTCATTGTTTCTCACCTTGAGGGCAAGGTATTTTTCGGTGGAATTATTGTTACGTTGGTGCCTGGCCTCTGGGCATTTTGTATGTTGTATGCCTAAGGGTAATTTAGTCTATTATTATTATTACTATCATTGTTGTTTTGAGTATAAATAGGTTTGTTATGTCTAGGATTATGTTTATGCATGAGATGGAGTTGTGAGTCTTAGGTCTAGGCTTTGAGAGAGATTTCCTACCTCTTGAATTGTAGGAGTTGAGAGAGACCGCCTACCTCTCAAATTGTAGGTGTTTATCTTTGTATTCTTGTTGAGTTCTTTGATTTTTTTTAAAGAAAATGTGTTTGTCCTAATTTCTGTGGAAAAGTGTGCTAATTTTGAGGTCGGATCATATCAGTTTGACAAATGCATTTAAAGTTTCAAAGACTTAAGAGAACTAATGAGTCATCAAACAATAAGCTCAATCATCCTTTCATCATTCTAGGTTTGAAAAATCGACAATTTGTCAATTTATTTTTTTTCCTTAAAAAAGGATGCTTGTTGTTTTTTTTTATTGAAAAAAGCTAGTAAATATTTATATTTTACAAATAATATTAGTTAATCCTGATAATTATGTCAGGCTTTTGAAACCACGTGGAAACGAACATGACTGCTTTTTTTCAACCTTAGTACAACTATGCACTAGAATTGTTATAGAATTATAATATTAATCCAGATCTCGGCAAAATTAGTTCAGAAAAAAAATAATAGAAATATAAATGACCCAGACATGTATGTGAGAGTTCTAAAAATCCACACATATATTATGTATGTATAAAATTATTTTACAAAATAAACAAACTATTTTTTATATTTCTAATATTTTGATAATGTTAGTTTGCTTAAAAATACCAATCTTAAGCTAGTTTTATGCAAATGCCCCTTTAATAAAGTTTAGAGCTAGACTGATTCATTAGCAAAGAAAGTAGGTGTTAATCCTAACTCTACTCGAAAACATAGAAAAAAGTAGTAGTTAGAGGCACTCAATTGATGTCTCATAAAGCCCTAAAGATTGACATGTATTTTTTTTATTAGGTTAGCTTTTCATTTTGTTTATAAAAATAACCCAAGCCTGTTCACTAAAAGGTCCAATCTATGCTAAGTAAAAAAGAACAATTATAAACTTTTTATTTGCTGAAACACCCTCCTCCCATAACTTCAACAAGAAGTCATCACACATTTATCGTCAATTTGGACAACTTTAACATAGATGATCTGGGATCAATTTTAAGGATTCAAGGGTTTAAATTAGAAATATGTACTAACTGTGACTAAACTGGCCACATACAAATAGTACAAAGATCATTTTCAGCTTCTCTCCTATAGTATGTTTAATTAAACTTAAAAAAATCTACTTAGCAAAAAGCAACCAGCACAAAATACCTGTGATTCATCAAGAAGATTCCGTCTAATCTCCAGCTCCCTTTTGAGAGAACATATCTCCTCCAAAGCGGCTTTGACCTTATTTTCAGACATATCAAACTGTCTCGACCTCTCCGCAACGGTGCTCTGAAGGTCCAACACAACATTATCAATTATTTTTGACTCCAAACTGGGGTTAGCCGCAATTCCACAGCTGAAAATGCCACAAAGCCTCGTGCCAACATCAGAACTATTTGAGGTCAACCTCATCTGTTGTGCCTCTTCGCTCGATCCTGTCTCTGTTTCACCAACTTTATCTTTTTCTGCACGAACAACACTCTCTTCATCATCATCTCCAGCTTCATGATCATCATGAGACGGCTCTAACATTGATGCATCAATAACCTTATGCGAAGGATCTAACGAGCTCGTAGTTACCATACCCAACAAATCAACCATGTTTTCGTCACCCCCCTCACCGAGTTTACCTGGTTGCATACTTATAAGATCGAGTCTGAGATCAACAGAAGCAGATGTACAAGAAGCCTCCTCCATTGTTACAGTTGAAACAAAAGCAATGGGAGGAGCCTCTTCATCTCCAAAAATATCACCTCTATAGCCATCAATTTTCAGCTCAGAAATAAAAGACTCGGAAGCCTTCTTATTAGTGGAAATATTCTGTCCCGCATTATATCGATCCACCAATCTCTGCTCGAGCTCGTGAATACGTTTTTCATAAGTCGAGCATTGAACCTGCTTCATATTTAGCAAAGACTGGATGTGCCTTATGTACTCATCCTTAGAATGAAGAGCTTCAGCCGTCTTATCCTTGATAGTTTTGAGCAAATTTTCGGACTCCGCTTCATCAAAGGTTTCGTATCTGGTTCCCGCATTGGAAGAACAGATGATGGCAATGGCAGAGGCGAGGTCAGCTTTTAGTTGTGCATTTTCAACTTCTAACCTGCTCGTTCCGGATATATCTACCGGAAGGCAGCCTTCGATCAGGCCGTGAAAATCAACCTTCTCACAAGAAGCTACAGCATTTTCTTCAGATGTGGTTAAATTCGAGTTATCTGCTGATGCCACTCCATCGCTCCGACCCGATTTACTCGTCTCGAATCTAGGCTGAACTCCTATAAGCGCCGGAGGAGCGTAGCGATCAATATCGCCAACATCAATATTGACGAGGTTTGTATCGAAAGGATAGATGCTAACATTACACTGACTGGGTGAGTCAAACAGCCCCAAAGAAGCTAAGATATCATGTGGAATATATTTACTCCAAGCTTTACAAAAACCTTCGCGCCTTCGAATCTCTGTCTCCCTATCAGCTGCTAACTTTTCTGCACACTGACCCGCTAGACCCATGTAGAGCTTCGAATATGACTTTCTCCTCACCACCTCTGCAAGACAAGCACGGTAAGCATGGCTGATTCCATTAACGAGCATTAAATCATCAAATTCCTTTTCCTTGTGCCCCATCACCTCCTGAAAAGCATGGAGCTCATTCATGGTGTCTTTGATGCTTAACTGAGAGGACTTTACTTTCTGCATGCAGAAATGTACTGCCATATTCGTCTCATTTTTCTTCGCCGTCGAGTTAGCGAGCAACTTTGCAATGGTGTGATCGCAGTTCTGCACGTTGGGAAGATGATTTTTTTCATGAACTTCATACATGGAGCCGAGGCCTGAAATAGCATCGTGAGGACGAAGAGGTTTCGATGATTGATAGTTTATGCAATCATCCACGAGCCTTTTAACGGTGCCGACATCTTTGCTGCACAAGTAACAATCAATCAAATTAGCATTCATGGAACTTAGAAAAAAAGAAAAATAAAAAAAGAACTTGTTCAAGTTTCAGAACTGGTAATCATGTTAAGAAAATACCCAAGACGTGAATCTAAACTTGATCGCACAACCACGCTTTTATAGGAAAAGCATCAGGCCAATCATGATCTTCAGATGTCTCTCAAAAATAGATTGATAAATAATTAAAATAAGGAAGACTTACTCGCATACCTGACACCTAAAATTTTATTTTCACCAAAATACCACTTTTCATATGCATGAAATAGTGTATTTCACTTTTTAAAAGTAAAAAAAATGATATTTTTGATATGATATAAAAGATAAATAAATGTAAAAAAGTAAAGTTTGTGTTAAATATGTAAATGCATTGGAATTGAGTGGTATGTATGTAATTGCCCCTTATAATAAACACATACCAAGGTTAGAAGATATAGAAAGACAGGGTAGCACATTTAAGTGATTTGTGTAGGTGCAAACTAGAGCAGAAGACGCACTACAGAACTAGCAAAACAAGCACCGAGAGTACATTTGAAAAGAATAAGGGGAAACAATAGTAGACTAACGGTTAAATGTGTAAAAGCTATGGGGATAATATGACTCAATCCAAAAACAAACCTCAAGATGAATGAAAGGAGAAAAATATTACTAAAACTAACTCCAAGTGATTGTAATAAGGCTACAGATGATGATAATGATTGGTTCAAGATTAAAGGTAGATTTAAATTAAACTTAATTAAATAGAAAGGATACCTATGTTTTAAGCTAGAAAAACTAAATCTAACAGAGAATATCTGGAATAAAAAAGCTCTTTACAATTTCATGAAAAGGAGTGTTTAGATACGTACCACCCTATTCATATGTATTTACATATCTAACGCCTAAATTTTACATTTTATATTCATACCACCAATATTTCATATCACATCAAAAATACCACCATTTTAACTTTTGAAACATGAAATACACCTTTTCATGCAAAGGTAAGGTGGAATGCATGCAAAAAGTGAAGTTTAGGTGTTGGATATGTAAATACATAGAAATTGAATTGTATGTAAATCTTCTAAAAAGAAAAAAATTATTAACAACTAGCTAACAAAACTAAATATAATAAATATTACAAATCAAACCTTCTTACAAGCAGGCTGCATCAATAGTTCAATAGAATACAAACAAAAAACTCAAGGGGTAAGAAAAAAACATTTTCAACCAATAGAGAAACATAAAATAAAATCCACATAAAAGGTTAAAATATACACGATTGCATGCAAAACAACATTCACCAAAAATACAAATCAATGTTAGCTTGTAGAAGGTTGTATTACTTCACCTGGACAGATCATTAAGAGCGTGTTTGGGATCAATTTTGTTTTTTACTTTTGTATTTATTTTTATTAAGAAAACACTCAAAATATATAAAGTTGTCTTAAGTTTTTTTAAAAGCAACTAAAAATATTATGTCATATCAAACATGTTTTATTTTAAATCAAAACATAAACAAAACAACATTTAAAAAACAAAAACAAAAACAAAAATCAAAAGTGAACACAAACAACCCCAATATAATTTGGGGTGTGGATATTTTCATATATTAAAATTCTACGGTCCAAAGACAATCACAGAAAGAAGGATTCAACTCATATTGTAACCACTCCCCTATCTCAATCCTTGACATTAAAAGTTAAACTTCAAATATCCAATAATGTAAAGATGAGGAATAAAATAGAATTATTGAAATAGCAAAAAAGCAACTTTGACATATTTTGGAATTTACAAATCAGTCACCAAAACGAAGGAACTCAAACTAAATCTCTACGAACAATATTTCAAAAATTATTAGAGCTAAGGCAAGGATCTCTAATTAGATTGTTCGACATAGTAAAGACAAGCAAGCCTTAAAACAAAAAAATAAACGTAGATGTCAAGAATATATAAAGAAAAGACTAAACATAATAAAAGGTTCTTGATGTCGGGTAAGAATCTAATAATTGGTGGGTTACCGATGGTAACCGAACAGCTTGGTGAGTTCTTATCACTGCTAAAGTAGCAATAAAAAAGATAAGGTTGTAGAAAATAAAATAGGTTATTTGGGCATGAGAGAAATAAAGCAAAAGCTCGATAACATGGGCACATATAGAAACAAAAACTACTGTTTAAAAAAAAGAGAGATGAAAGAGAGGAGTTACCCCAAAGGTTACAAGATTAGTAATGGATAAAAATTTGGGTACTGAAGGAAACCTTCATGTGCAGCTCTAAGACAATTGTCAATGGAGAAGAAAGATTTGCAAAGTGGCCACAAATTAGGACTTCATTAAAGCTACACATCCATTCAAACAGAAATGATATCTATCTTTTGAATCCATAAATACAAATTAATGGAGATTAGCAGAATATTAAAATGCTCAGATTAAGCAACAAAATCATATTTTTAGAATCAATGAATACATAACACCTGTTTGGATGAGATTTGATAGGATTCAATAAATTCATATTCAACTATTAGTAGGATTCATACGGTTTTCATCAATGAAAATATAAGGTAATGAACTAACTAGCCAAAAAAAATTTCAACTTCAGAAAGGTCCAAAGAGAAAATAAGTGCATGAAGGGGGCAACTCGCAAGCATTACTTGATCCAATGGCCTCATTTTAGGCCTATGTTTGGGTAAAATGCCTCTAAAATATAACTTCTGACAGCAAATTATAGTTGTATGATGATACGAATTAACAAATGCACCTTCAAAACATTGCATTAAACATGTCATAATTTATTTGACAATATGCATAACATTATAGAATAAATACGTAAAATTGGTTTAACAATACAGGAAAACAAGAGAGCATTAAAAAAATGACGGCTAAAGCTGAAAATTTTGACCTCTTATAATAAGTCGGTATTTTTTTTACATCAAATCTCAAAAGAATTGTCAAACAACATATACTAGATTGCACAGTGGTATAACCAAATCAAACAAACATTATAACTAATATGCAACATATTCTAAGAATTTCAACAAAAAGTGGAGCAAATAAAGCAAAATAATAATAATAGTAATAAAGCTTAGCATTTGCTAGCAGCAAAATCTGAAACTCTAAGTGGCTGTCCTGTTAATGGATTTAAGTTTTAACTCAAAATCTTACCAGATAGAAAAAAAACAGGGCAAATTTTAAATCTAAGATTTAGTAAATCCTATTGTTTCACAATTCCTTCACAGTTTTGCTTGAAATCTTGGATTTACTAAATCAATTACCAAAAAGCCCCTAGAACTCAGACAAAATAATGAGGGTTCTTAGACATCAATTATGAAACATAAGGGCACATTAATGTTATAACAGAATATGAAAGTTAAAACTAACCTTAATGACTGCAATATACTTTTCTGATCATTGAGAAATATTTGATGATCTTTCATCATCAGTTCCAACTCCTTAATTCCAGTAGAATCCATATCATGAAACACACCATCCACCCTTCTACTAAGTTCTCCAAAGTTCTGCTTCAACTGAGAAACTTTAACTTCAAACTGCTTATGTGAATTGAAGCAATTATCTGCCCATTTCCGCAGATCATTCTCCTTCACAAGATCTAGCAAACATTTCCTCGAATCATTTTGAAGCAAAGGATGGAGCTTGACTGACCTCAACCTTTCCACATCCCTCTCAAAATTTTTCAGGAGTTCAGAGTGATACCGATGCTGCTGATTGAAGCATTTGATGAAATCAGTGTATCTTTGCTGTAATTTCCTGAAAGTATGGCCCAGATTTCCCTGAGCAGTCTCTAAAGCTCTCTCCTGAACCTGCATCTCCCTCAACAGCCGCTTGCAGACCTCGAATTTCGATCGTGTGGATCCATATATGACATTTGCGAACTGGAAGTGGAAACGAAATTGACGCTCGTAGGAGCCCAAAGCCTTTAAAGCAGGATCCGATGCGTCGTCCAAGGGGTGAGGGCTTTGAGACGGTGAAGGAGGAGCTGGGACTGCGGCATTGGGTATATCGATTGTTTCAGATGGTGGAAGGGGAGAGTCGGCAAGGAGTCTGGATTTATTGTAAACGAAAACTTCACTGTCATCCTGTGGAAGCTTATAGTGGGCTAATGTATTCTGAGAGTCCAACGAAGTGTTCCTGCAGAGGAGGAGCTGATCGCCGATATGCACTCCACAGAGCGACTCGATCGACCTTTGGATCGCCTCCACAGGGGTTGAGCCATCGCATTCAAACTCGTAGCTATGACCATTCTCAGCAATATGAACCAGCAGCTTCCTCCCGGGGACGAATTCCTCCGTCGAAATACTAGACCTGGAACTCATCTTCCCAACTCCTCCGACGGGCAAACCCTAATCGACCTAAACAAAACCTTAAAATCATGAAAATCAAATAAAAAATTCAAACAACAGTTCACAACACAACCCAAAATGGAACTCCTAAACCCTAACTTTCTCATACCCAACACAAAATCCGCAAAAGGCAATCACAGACCGCAAGTCTTCGGGAACAAATCCCAGCTCAAAAATCCACACGCCTGATGCTGCAAAGAAACAAGGCGACGCCTTTATGAACTCTTCCGCGGGATCCTTTGACCAAGATGGTGAAATCAATCACACCAAAAGGCAAGATACTTGGGTGGATTTGGAAGCCGAAGCGCAAAGGTTGAGAAGAAAAAAAAGGAGTCGGTTAGGAAGACGAATTAGCTTGTGTCTATGTCTATGGAGGAGAGAAAACTCCGCGAAGAAATCGAGGAGGGAAAGGAGAGAGATTATGCACGCTTTTGCTTTAATTGATCGTATGGAAGTAGAGGAGGAGAAAGTTTGAGGAGGCTTCTGTGGCAAGAAATGAGTCGCACGGTGACCTGTGGGAGAAGAAAGCGCTCCCTCTTTCCCCTCCAGGAAGAAGACGAGAAGGACCAGTGGATTTTATCCGAATAAACCGTGACCATTTTCGTAATTACCTCAACATTCTCAATTATCCCAATTTATCAAAACTAAAATTCTTCGTGTGTTTTCCTGGCTCCATGATTCTACAAAATATTCCGTCTGACTTACACCTCCGCACCTCTGAACGGTCAACTATCAACGATTATGTCGCCCGCTGATGATGTGTGTGTGTGTCATTGACCACAGATAGTTGGTTGTCAGCACGTATGGACTGTCAGCCACCCGCGGTCATGTTGCCCGTTGATGGCATGTATGGCAGCCTGACCACCAGTGGTTGGTCATCCCGATGTACGGCGTCCGGACAGTATATTTTCTACCAAAATTGGGCATTTTCTCAAGCACTGAAAAGTTTCATATTTAAAACAAATAATTAAATATTTTTTGTGGCTGAAATATAATTTTTTCAAGTTTACATTTTTTAAATGCTGTTTTTAATGTTTTGGATGGTAATTACGTAAAAAAACCCCAAATTTTAAATATTTATTTATTTATTATTAATCATATTTTGTGTATCTAGTTATTTATGATTATAAATAAATTTTTTGATGAGGAGGTTTTAGTGTTATAATATAAGGATTAATTGTAAATCAAATCTGAATATTTCATTAATAATTAAATCTGAGTTTTAATAAAACTAATTGATGAGTTTGAATTTAGTTTGAATTTTTGGTTAAATTCATTCATCAATGAATTTGCATATTTATTTGGATATGTAAATAGTCAATTAAAGATATTTAAATGAGCAATAAATGTTTAACATTTAATGCAATATGATTGTTGGATATCATAAGAAAACCACCCACTTGACACCATCCTAAAGTAGAGTTTTTTTTTTTTTTTTTTTTGGCTTTCATGCATATGAAATGAATGATTGGATTTTGATCACTCTAGCTCAAGAAATAATGAACAAACCTAGCTTAAGTGACAAATAGTTTATAATTTTATATGTCACATAGTATTATGTATGTATGTATTTCAGATCAGTTGGTCGGACATCTGCTTGTTAGTTGTAAGTCTCCTCTAGTATGAAATTTGATTTCTCCCGAGTATAGGGTGTGGCACTCAAATTATAGACGCATGAGGGATGATTGTGACTCATATCATAGTCTTTGTTCATTTCTTTATTATTATTATTATTATTATTATTATTATTATTATTATTATTATTATTATTATTATTATTATATATATCTGTGTGTGTGTACTCAAATTAGTTGGTTGGACATCTATTTGTCAATTGTAAGTCCCCTCAGTTTTGAAGTTCGATTCCATGGAGGGTGTCATACTCGAATTGTCAAGCGCATTGGAAATAATCGGGGCTCGTATAATAGCCTAAAGCAATTCCTTTTTTTTAATATATATATATTGGAATGTTCATGTGTGTTCCCTCAAACGAAAGCAGACTTGACAAAAAAACCATACTGATTATACAAAATGCATACTGAAACTAGCTGCTACTCTCCGCCAATGAAACCCAACTAAGTCTGCATGGAACCTGCTTCGCCTCTCTGCCACCACCACTCCTCTTTCCTCCAGATCGTCGGGCACCAAATAGCACTCTATTCGCTACAGCTCCAGCGTACAGATTCACCGCAGCCTTCCCTGTCGAATCCCCTTCCACATCTCTCCTCCCTTCCTCCGCCGTGAAAGTCCAGCTTCGATCACTCCCTATCTCTGCAGCAATATCAGTCATGTTGTCTGCTGGATCAAGTGTAGCAAGAAGGAGAAGAAAGATACCTTTTTTATAATGAGTGGAAAGAAAATATGACAAAAAACATGGCCGAAAGCCGCACCGCCTTCTTTTTTTTTTAAATTTATTATTATTTAATTTAAAATAAATAATATGTTCACTAAAGTTAAAATATATTTTTTTATTTTTTATGTTTATTGAATAATGAAATTTAAAATATGATTGGACATGTGATCAGGACAGACAGAAGCGCGTGGTAAGTAATTGTAAATACTTGAAGCACCTAAAAAGATATTTTAAATATTTTTAAAAAGGGCACATAAAAAAAATACATTTAAGGGACATGCTTTTAAAAAAAAAATTTGTTGGTATATTCATATTGACCAATTCAATATGAAAGTTTGATCTATAGTTGACTAGAGAAAATATCTCATTTGGTCCAAAAGAAATGGCTACAAGTCATGGCACATGATTTCCATGCACACTAATAAATATAAGTTAACTTAGGAAAACAAATTATAATGAATAAAAAATTCTTAACATACTTATTATTGTACAATTAATTTTAGGGGCAATTGCATATATTTACATATCTAACCCCTATACATCATATTAAAAATATTAATATTTTAATATTTGAAAATGTCAAATGCAAACTTTGTTGCATATATAAGGGGGCATATATGTAAAAAATGAAGTTTAGGTGTTTGATCTGTAAATACTTAGGATTTGAGTGGTATGTATGTAAATTTCTAATAAAATAATATCAGATCAATGCCAATGCTTGCTTACAACAGCCTAAATTTTTTTTTTTTCAAAATATCAAAATTTAGTACTCATTTTTCATTATACGCCTCATATTTTTATTTATTAGATGCATGAATTAAACAAAGATTTAATTTTATTCAGAGCTTAATTATGGATTAAATCACTTCATAGATATTATAATTTCAATATTTATAAAATAATATACAATGTATTAATCGGAAAACATGGAACTCTAAGCTAATATACGACGTATTAAAATCGGGCATTTGGGTCGCGTTTCAATTTTTTTTCAAGCTGACATTGAGCCATACATTGTCGCGGCTCAAATTAGTTTTATCTATAAAAATTATATATAATGCTAAATAAGATATATTATAACAAGCGGCGAGTCGATCATATACACGTGCTTTGTTGCTCGTGCTTTTCAATATTATAAATAATATATATATATATATAGATTGAAAAAGAATGTCTGGAGGCTATGATATGAGCCTCCAACAACCCTCATGTGTTTTAACAATTCGAGGATCACTAAGAGCAAAATGACTAGAGAAGGACTCGAACCCGTGACCTGAGGGACTTACGACCTTCAAAGAGGCTGCTCTACGAACAAGTCATGGCTAACAATATATATGTTCGACCTGTTGGTTGGCATCCTCGAGATAAGAGTCCCCTTCATGTTGTGAGTTTGAATCCCTCTGACACAGTTGACCTCATAGAAGTTATACTCGAATTGCTAGGCACATTAGGATTGACTGGTGGGTCATATGATAACCTCTGATCATTTCTTTTAAATATATATATATATATATATATAACCTATAAATATATTAAAAATTGAGACGAAATTAGAGCCACGTGAAGATTAGGCATGAAAAATAATAGATCGAATCTTCCATGCTTTGTGGGATGATGAGGCACAAGAAACTAATTATTGAAATGGGAATCAATTCATCTTTGTGAATCTATGAATAATAATATAGAGATGGAATCGGGTTAAAATTTATATAATATTTTTTATATAATTAATAAAATTTAATATTTTTTTCAAATGTAATTCAACACCATTAAAATTTACAATTTCTTTATATCAATATTTAAGTTTAATATTTTTTTCTTATATAATTTATTAATTTTAGAAGCGATACAAAAGTTTTTGAGTCTTGCAATGGGAAATAATATATTTATTTTGTAGCTTTATAAGTAATTTTTAATGCTATCACATAAAAAAATAAAATATTGCTCCTATTAGCATTTAAAAAGTGAAATACATATTTTTTAAGCCAAAGTAGCATAAATGTAAAAATCAAAGTGAGAGATCTATACATGTACCTAAAGTTGAAATTTTACATAGATATGACCTTCCACAAAAGGTATATTCCACGATTAAAAAGAAAATATACGTGTATACATGTAAATACATAGGAATTGGGTGTTATATGTAAATATCCCATATATTTAATTCATTGCTATGTATGTTGGGTAGAAAATTTTCATTTGGAAAAGCAGCATCCGCGGAAGTTCTCCCAAAGTTGTTTCGCAAGAATCAATTTTTTGCCATTTTAGATCATAGGAGACCTTCGTTTCTGGAAAAAAATTTGTGTATGTAAGATGTACGCAACACTGCTTACGTCTGGGGGGTTATTCATAGGGCATTAGGGGATTATATCCGCGTTATACCTCCCGTAACCTCCCTATAATCTAACTGTAACTTACAATATATGAAAACAAAAGTGCGAAACTTATTAGAAGCTATAAGTATGTTACAGGAATGTTAGAAGGAGGTTATATAAGATATAACACAAATATAACCCCACAATACCCTCTGAATAACCTCCAGGACGTACGCAGCGCTGCGTACCTCCAGGACGTACGCAAATTTTTCTCCGTTTCCGCAAATGTGATAGAAACTTATTCAAATGAAGCCTTAAATATTAAATGGATAAATACATAAGAAATGTATGATATTTATGTAAACACACTTGGTAATAATATGACAAAACAATGGGAATGAATTTTTGGAGGCAGTTGATTGCGATTTTCCAACCACATATTCAATGGAATGCGACAGCTCCCGACGCCTTCAAGGAAGGGGACAGAAAGAGCCGTTTTCTCCGTACTGACCACTTGAGGTCATGCAATACATGCAAAAAATGAGTGAGATGGGGCCCACACCTAGGGTTCATCTCGGAACCCTAAAATAACCGAGCTTAGAATCAAGCCGGCCGGGTTTGATTAATTTCTTTTTTAGAAATGTCAGATCGGATTTATTACGCCGTTATTTAAGGCACGTTAGAAAATAATAAATTAGTTATTTAATTTTTTTAATAAAAATTTATATTAATTACAAAAATATATTAATATTTAATTCGCTACAACGAACCTTCACAGCAATATTATCCTTTGATGATAAAAACCTAACTTTTTTTTTTTCATTTCTGCCAAATAAATCTTTCCTACAGTGTCTAAAAACATCAATAATTTACTTTAAAGAAGGTAAAATACT